CGCATTTAACAATTTGTTTTGTGGCCGTCCGTTAATTTCAAGTATCACCCGTCGTGTTGAGGAACTGACATATTGCGAAGAGTAAAATTTGAGTTGTGACAACTAAAGTTTCTTTCCCATGGTTGATTTTTTTTTTTTGTGTAATGAGACGGAAAAGTATAATGTAAATGGAAATTATGCTTATCCTACTTTGTGTGTAATACTATTGAGATCTCCGACCACTCAAGTAGGATTTTTCAACAAAAAAAAAACCGCGATATTTTGAAATTAAGTTGCCATTTTTTACAATTTTTTGGCGATAAAATCGCTAGGATCATCAACATCGGAGCAATTACCTTTATTTTGTCACGATTGTTTCTGTATAAAGTCGTGTTTGATAAAATCTACATTTTGTCTCAATTTGTCACGATCTTTTGTTCGATGACATTGCAATGTGAAGTCGTCGATAAGATCGCTTTTTTTATTGCAAATTCATGTAATGAAATCGCAATTTTTTATCCGAGAATATGGCAATTAATTGACGTCGATAAAATCGCGATTCATTCTCTGAGCAAATTGAAATTTATCGGGATCTTTGCTACTTGGGCAATAGTTTTAAATATAATTCCAACTATGAGGCGATTTAGATAAATTCATAAAATTTTGGATATCTGCATGAGTCGTGAGCATGCAGTATAGTAATATATTCAAAAAGAGGTGGTAAAAAGGACCAAGAAGGTCATTTTAATTCCAATTTTTATGATTTCAGGTCGTAAATACGCAATGCTGAAATTGAAAATATTACTGTCTACTATTTTAAGAAATTACAAAGTCTACAGTGACATTCCAGAGAAGGACTGGAAGTTGCAAGCAGACATCATCCTCAAGAGATCAGACGGTTTTATGATTCGATTAGAACCCAGGAAGATGAAACCAAAGCCTGCAACGGTGGCTACAGCGAATTAGGTTTTATAGTTATCCTATTATATCTTGATTACAATTTAGTTTGTAAAATTGATATACTAAGGTCTCCTCGACCTTTTAGGTGTGTATTGAGTCTATTAAGTCATACTTGAAGCGCACAGAGGTGTCCCAATTTCCTAGGCTCTACCTACATGACATGGACATTTACTTTGAAAAGTGTAATTTCCTCGATTTTCAGAAATTATTCCCTTTTAAGATCTCCTAAGAGATGAATCTTGGAGCTCTCTCCATCAGTCATCTCTGGCTGGAAACCCTTAAGAGATCAATTTAAAGAAGAAGCATGTGTACGTATTATATTCCATGTTTGACCTTGCTAGTTAGTTTGTCCTTTACAAGTAATCGAAAATTTAGCTGGAAAAAAAAGAATCCGGTTATCGGAAACAGAAAATCGGCTGATGTGAAATAACCACTTATATAGTTCATACGACCCAATCATTTAGTCAACTTTGTTTTGATCTTGTATGTAGGTAAAAACATCCACCGATTCATCTTGACTGAATAACTATGTACATGGCCGTCCCGTCCTACAATAAAATTAATTCGTTCAGCGAAGAATGGATTTTGCTTTGTTTTACGCTCTGGTTTCTCTCCATGTTTCTTTATTCTTTTTTCGCTGACATTTTTCTCCCTTGAACTAAACGATCTCGAAAAAAAATATAGTAAAAGAAGAAAAATTCTTGCATTTGAGCATTTTAAATTTCTAGCCAAATCCACGCAAATTTGATCCGCGAAGCCACATTTTCCATTCTTCTTCGAAAAAATTTAAGTTTCATAACTAAAGTCATGCAGTTAGTACTTAACCCTCTCGTGCTCAATAGTTATAATATTTAAAATAGTTTTTATTTTTTACATAAAAAATATAATTTAAGTGAAAGTGTAATATTTAAAGTTTGTTATTTTGTTGACGTAAACTCATGTAATGTATGTTTGTTCATGGTGCAAAAATTTCTCACTTTGCCCTCTACCGAAGGCATTGACAAAACGCACCGAATGAAAAAATAAAGAAAATAATATAGAATAAAAAAGTGTAACATATCTGTGTTTTTCGTGTGTTCCGAGATAAAACAATTTTTGAAGCGGTAGCCAATGAATCCGAATCTTCAAAAAATGTGCAGTCAATTTATTGTTTTATAATGTGTTTCTATCGTGATTCCTCTCGCAAGTTTCTATGGGTATGTAAAAATACTGTTCCTGATAAAAATTCAATTCAAAGTGATCTGAGAATCTTTTTTTAATCTTTTTTTATCTTTTTTTACTCATGCTATGTATGCGTTTTAAAATCATCGGGTGATAATGATTCTGGGTTCTTCGCGATTTTTAAAATTAAAAAAATCGCCCCATCCAAAATTAACATTTGCGTGTAACTTACCTTACTGTAGACCGATTCAAATCCTATATCACCTTCTCACGCACAACGATACAGTCCGAACCAACAAAACTGGAAGAAAAATTCTTGCAGCACCGTGCAAGTTAATTAATTTCTCGAAACTATTCATGGATTCCCAGATCGATAAACTTTTGATCGTCATCTCATTATAATTTGATTTTAATGTGCCTGACCCTCCGGCGTGATGGCTGAGAAAGCGGATAGAAAATTACACATCTTTGCCGGGGATTCTAGTGTCAAATATTTAGGGTGTCTACATGGGAATCTCTAAGATTATAAGAGATATGAGCGATTAGGTTTTATTTCGACGCAACTTAGAGCCAGCTTGAGTCTCATTCCTCTATCGTCACATATGAATCATTTCATATGTATACTCGCTCAATGAATGACAATCTAGCTCAATCTGGAAATTAATCGTATTATTAGTCTGAGAAAATATAGTTTTTCTGAGATTTTATCGCTATAATTTGACGAAAAAAATGACCACGGACTTGACGAGAGCACATTAGACAAACATGATTTTACTACCTAGATATTTAAAAAAAAGGTACCTAGTATTGAAGCATCTCTTACGGATACATCGATGGTCACAGTGCGAAACCACGTATCTCCTTTGCGGTTTTTCAACCGCAATTACCTTTGCTCCTATTTTTGTCTCTTTTGCGGAAGAACAAACTATAATAATATTCCTCGAAATTTATATTGAATATTTCGGTAACATGGAAGAAAAATTAAGGAAGTTTTCAAGAAATTACGTTCACTAGTTTCCCACAAGAAAATAAAGTATGGCAAGAACTCTGCACTTCGCAAATGTAGACACGCGGTTTCGCACCTAAGCCATCGATAAAAAGCAGGATAGAAAATTAAACTACCCTTTCATATAGATTCTTCTTCCGTTCATAGCAATTACTTCACTACAATAAAATTTTGCGTGGTAAATGCCTCGGATCTACAAAGCTTACACCGTAAAATTGTATTTTGTCCCAATATATCACGGCGCTACTCGTTTGAGCATGAAGCCTCACTTCCTCTTGTAAAAATTGGCAGTAGAATCTGTGTTCCAAAATACCACAGACCTGCAGCCGGCTGTAAGATTTCCAATAGCTTCTATAGCCGGCAACACAATTTCCTTTTATAGCCGATGGTGACCAAGCGACAGCCTGGCGATAAACTGTATACTAAACGTTACTAATTACGGATGCTAGGACTTGGTGAGTTTTTGGACTACCACTCTCTTTTTGGGCAGTAGTATCTTGATTTATTTTGAGAGGGAAGCTCCGTACTTTTGAAGGATGCCTGCCATTCCTAACATGTTGGAGCGCCTTCAATTTCGAATGATACTGTGCAATACCTCTGGTGTGAAATAGTTGCTTCAAGCGCCGTGGTACGCTGCGGCGCCTCGCGGCGGGCGGGCAGCCAGCCCGACACGCGCATTGGCGCCTTCAAACCTAACAGGGATACTTCACGCATTGCGCAATGCGTGAAGTATCCCTGTTAGGTTTGTAGGCGCCAGTGTGCCGCCGCTCCGCTTTGTGTTAGGCTCTAATATTTAATCTCGTGGAGTCAGCGTTTTTCAACTCATAACTTTGAAATGTTTGCACACTCTGTATGGGTTATTCTCATTTTAATTGATGAAAAACAATATGCAGTAAAGGAAAATATAATGTGCGTTTTGTAAAAATTCAGGTGATTCCGTACAAACTTAAGGATTTACAAAGCACGCGAATTTCTACACAATTTATTATAGCCTTTCATAGCCGATGGCGAAAAAGCAACAGCCAGGCGATAGAGTGTAAAGCCCGGCGATAGGAACTATAGCCCGACTATATCATTTTTAATCGCTTCGTGTAGCCCGGCCGTATGATTTTTCTATTTTCTACAACCAGCTATATGATTTTCTATTGCCTTTTTCAGTCGGCTATAAGAGCTCCTATGGTATTTTGAAACGCAGCTCCTATCGCCAATTGTTACCAGGGTTATCTTTTTACAATATTTATACAATATGTTTTAAGATGTCTTGGGAGATTTTAAAACTTCTTTATGAGAAAATTATTAAATAAAAGTGTTTTAAAAAGATCACTATATGTCTTTATGGACTCGGTTTTATCTAGAAATTTCTCCGAACCTCATTCAGAAATTAATCGCCGTTTCTCTTAACGTACCCTGGGTCCTTTTCTTTAACTGCCTAACTTTGCACTTACATACCTTAAAATATTTTCCACCTCAGCGTTCTAAATTCTTCCCTCGTTATCTTTTTAAATTCGCTGATCCCAGAAGATTCTATTTAATGACGCCATGCAGTACGCCTCCCTTCCTAGGTTGTTTTTTTCTTTCCTTGATATTTTTATTCATATTTCTAGCCTGAGAAGAAGGCTGCCGAAAAAGATGTTGGATTGAGTTCTTTCTCCGAAGAGACGAATAGGACACCCAGTAAGAGGATGCATCAGAGAGTATTTGGAAAGCAAATCTACTGTATGGATTTTGAAAGGGTTTCATCGCCTTTTCTGTTCCATCAGTCTTCTATATAGATTACGCTATTTTTCTTCCTTTTACTTAGTTTCTGTTCTCAGTGTTATACATATATGTGGTGGTAAATTAATAATACCGTACCTCGTGCCCTTTGGGCACCTATATTTTTGTACAGTTCTATTTCATGTGAGAATGTTGGGGAAAATACATTGATGGAGACACTGAGTAATACATAAAATTAATTTTAATTTAGAAATAAAAAAAATTCCACATATAACTACATCACAGGATATAAAACCAGGATTTGCCGAAGCAAAGCGTGGTTCGGTTTTAAACGAATTTAAAATACTAAAATTCTTAACAGTAGAATACAAAAAATAAGCAGAAAATTTTAGATAAGGACCATCGGTTAAATTGATGGGTAGGATACGAAAAAAAATAGTATTATAAATAGTGCGTCTGAAAAACGGGTATACTAACATTCATTGCTTTAGTATCAGTGTGTAGGTATAGACTCTTTCATTTAACTGTCTCAAGTATTTTCAATGAAAATTTTGAATATTCTTGACCTTGCGGAAATGTTAAAAAAGTATTAAAAAACATTCTTATTTGTAAAAGTAAGGTCATCGTAGAAAAAAGGGAATCTAAAACCAAACAGAAAATATTGACTTTTCAAATCTTCACGAAATCATCATATCTTCTGGTATAAAGACTCGTCGCCCGTCATACTTGCCTATCTTTTGAACAAAATAAATTGACTGCATCCTATTCTGAAGCGTTTAGATGTGTTAACATTTCAAAACACTATTCAACAATGTAAGTTTGCATTATGTGTTTTGTCATTCTTTGACCTACACTATTTCATAAAATTTTCTTACAAATGTATGTATCCGAAGCCTTTATTATTTGCGGAAAATATTCGTTCACAGGGGATAAGCCCTGGTATAATTCTGCATCACACAAGCGCAGCGTGCAGAACACAAGAAAATAAATACTAATCGTAAAGAGAGCATTCACAGGGTTAAATCAGTCTGAATCGATAGAATATTCGATTGAAGTAAATCAGACCATTCTATACTACACAGAGTGCTCGCAAATTAGTCCAGAAAAAGAATCGTTCTCGATTGGACATCCGTGATTGACAGCCAAAAAAATATCACATTGTTATCTCTTATCTCCTAACATTTTTATATTATCTATTGAAATAAATTCCAAAAAATTCAAATAAATTAAAGCGTGTCACTCCAAGTATCATGGTGTTACAGACTAGACTTCATCGCGAGAAACGAGCTGCTATCAATTGAACAGTATCCTTATTTGACACCGTAGATTCGAAAGATGTTGTGTGATGAGATAGATATCGAGAAAGCCCGTAAACCATCCATACAAATAATCCAATCAGAACCAGCTGGAGGACTCGGTGCAAAATGTGCAGTCTGCAAAAGAGAGAGTATCGTTAAATTTTAATTATTAAATTTGAATACACTAGAAAAACTGGACTTCTTTACGTAAATAGGAACTACAATTCCTGACTCATTTGTAAAGGCACTTATCTGCATATGGAAATTAATGGCACATATGTTTTCTCTAAAGTGAGCTAAAAATTGCAATTCCTATAGTTGCAAAATTTAGCCCAATTATTACATGAATGCTCACCGGCAAATGTTGGGGTTTCGCTCCTCGTTTTGAACGAACCAATTGTGAGGGAACTCTAAAAGCACGGGTAATAAACCAGTAAACAAGGTGAGAAATTAAAAAGTATCACAATGTATGGTTTCTCAAAATTGTAGGTAAAACGCTGTAAACAACATCAAAATTCGGAAATTTGGCAACGATCGAGTGCTCATATGTCGTTTTTCCTTGACGCTTCAGCAATGATAACATACTGTGCAGAGGACCATAATATCGGCAATAATGCTTTGATTCAACTATTCGTACTCGACATCCATGTTGCATCCTAAAAATTGAAGGCGCCCCAGTCATTCTGGCCCATGAGCATTGCTCGCAGAGACATGCAGTTAAAACTCATGGATTTAGACTTTCGGGCGTGAATGATCAACTTAATTTTTCTTTGTTTTCCCGATTATTCTTTTGCTATTTTATGCGAGTTGCATTTTGATGCTATCATCAGGCCACTATACATCACGCGTCGTGTGTCTACAAAATCTGACGCGCGTGAATACGCGACATAGTGGCCTGATGGTGGAGTAGCATCCGAAGTGCGCATCCCATAAAACAGGGAAAAATAGTCGGGAAAACGGAAAGAAAAGTGAGTTGACTATTACGACTCAGTGTGGTAGTAGGATATGACATTCTAATTTGCGAAAATGGTGCGAAAACATCCTTTGCCGTCCTTTCTCCTTGGTTATTTAAAACGTTACATCGATAATATATATTTGATGTGGGCAGTTCAAGGGACTAACCGATTTCCTTGTTACATAGAGAGGTGAAAAAAATGTGTAAAAAAAAAATCAATGTTTATAATGCTTCAGGCATTATTCTACAAAACCCACCTTTTATCTCATTTATAGTACACCGTATGCTCTATACTGCCATGCTAAGGAAGAATGTCGTATATGAAAATTCGAGAGTTGCCAAATTTCCCTTTATAAAGCATGTATTTCTGACGACTCTCATGAATTTATTTTCCTTGAAATTTTTAGATATTTCAGATTAAATTGCTTACAAAATTGTCTGAAAATGTTGGGAGAAAATAATCACGATTTTCCCAATAAAGTCGGTTTTTTCGAAGGAAACTTAGCAACGTCTAAAGGCTCATACGGCGTTCTTCCTTGGCAAGGCAGCATAGGGGGACAATAGTTTACTTACAGGAACATGCGTCTTCTGGCGGCCGGGATCGTGGTTGGCGGGTCCTTGAGGAGATACTTGCGGACACCTGTAACGTTCTCCTTGAGCATGGACTGCCAATCCAGGGTGGACATGTCGAATTTGAACGCCTCCCTGTCCGCGGGGCTCATTTTATCCCACAACGCTCTCACGTTGTTGTTGCTGAACTTCCACTGCTTCGTGCTGAAGAATGCTATAACCTCGAGGAACTTGTGTATTTTAGCATATGCTGTCATCATCCTGCAAAATCAACGAAATTCTCAAAATCCCCGCTGATTCATGGTGAAACTTCCAGGACACGTATCTGTCTATGACTTTCTGTCATACTTCATTTTTTATGTGAAGCACTCCTCAACATCAATTCATAGGCCTTGTCTCCACGGGACGTTTCACGTCATTTTTTCCGAGTTCAAGTCGCAGGCATGAATTTCTGGGCTTTTCCCCATTAAAAATCATATTAAAAATTCTTCTTCTTTTTAAGTCATTCCTGGAACTCCACAAGGACTCTTAGTTGATACTATGATTAGTAATGACTAACTAAATATTTCTTCCAACTTCCCAAGTGAGATTTTCCCTAGGACAGATCCCATGAAACGTCCCGTGGAGACAAGGCCTTAAAAACTTCTGAGATTCTTCTTCCCTATGTGAAGTAAGTTCTGGAAAAATTTCAAGGAATGATGTTGATTTGTTCTCCTTCAAAAAGGTTAGAAAAGAATGAGGATTTTTTGACACCGCAAACGAGATACGTGGTTTGGGAGTTTCACCGTCGTTATAAGTCAAATTTACAATGAGCTACTAGACAAAGGTCTGAACTAGAAATGTAATTGCTTGAATTCTCTTAAAAATCTACGAATATAACGATTCATTTTATAGAATGTTCGAAAATCAACTCCCGCACGAGATATTGTAAAATATTTTCCAAACCGATCAAATGAAAGATAGATTTTATAAATAATCATGTAATTTTTATTTTCCTCGTCTAACCTAAGATTAAGATAAATACTTATATCTTGTCCGGAAGTTAATCTTCATACTTCCCGTTGTAAGATTTATTTTCCTCCTACTTGAGGAAAACACATATTGTGTACAAAAAGAAGGTATCGTCGCATTTATATTACATCCAGTCTCTCAAGACGCCTACGCCTTCGGACACTGCAACACATGTTACGCTCAATAAGTATACTTCGCGAAACGAAGGCGTTTTATACCCCAGATATCTCTACACGTACTTGGCTCAATCTGATTTCTTCGGATCAATTCTCATACGGAAACGATGTACCTCATGTTTGAGCAGTGTCTTTGTGCCTCATGGATACCATCGACGATTTAATACACTCCCCACGGGGAAATACCTCATGGTACTATGATTCGAGAGTGAGGGCCTAAGGCCCCGATCTCACAAAGGAAGAGCACAGTTAGAAAACGGGTTAATTAAGAAGTACAGGGTTCATTTAAACGCATATTTCAAGCCCGTTTGCATCGACGGATCCAGGAAGTTGGCAAAATTGCTTCCACTCCATTTAAACCCATCGGAATGTATCGATTCTCGGAGGGGCCAGGTGCTCCGGCAAGAATCGATTATTGAACACAAGTTAAAATGGAATCAAGAAGCTATTGTCGTCAGTGTTGCCAACCTGCTGGATCTGTCTCTGAATATCTGTCATTTAGTGATTCGCAGAAATTTCACATTATATTTCAATTACTATTTATTTAAAAAAATTTAAATATTGAAACGTACCTTCTTTTGTGGTTTGTTGCGACCAAAGCTAAATCCATGAGCATGGCTGGTAAGGTATGGAAGAAGAAACTTAAGATAGCGAACAGGAATCGACTCTTGGTCATTGTTAGGGTGTAATACCATATAGCTCTGCTGCAAGGCATTGCAGTTCCATATTTCATATTGTAGTGGAAGTAGTCACCCCACGTGATAGGGTTATCACAGGAAGAAACATAATTGTAAACCGGAATGTCCAGTGAGTCCTCATTTCTGTAAGAAATAAGGAAAATACTTATTATTGATTGACCTCATATTTAATGGAGATGTTGCATGCGTGAGGGATTTGCAATTTGACCATTGATTCTTACGTAAAAGTTTGCGAGAAACACGATGGTGCCGCTGGTTTTCTCTGAAACCATCTCCCAAGCTCAAAAATAGCTCTCAAAGTGAGGCCAAAATGGAGGGGATATCCCACCCTACCCCAAGAGTCCACCTCTACATCAAAACAAACTCTCCATGCAAAGATAGGTAGCAAAACTAATCTGTGGAGAGCAAATACATTAGCAGGGTTGCCGTGTTTTCAGTTTTGGAGTCCCCAAATAAAGTGGCAACCCTGCTAATGTATTTGCTCCCTATCTTTGCATGGAAAGTTTGTTTTGATATGGAGAGGTGGACTCTCAGGGTAGGGTGGGATATCTTGAGAGCTTTTTTGAGCTTGGGAGTTGATTTCAGAGAAATTCAGTGGCACCATCGTGTTTCTCGCGAACTTTTACATAAGAATCAATGGTTAAATCGCAAATTCCTCACACATTCAACATCTCCATTTAAACTTAGTTATTGAATTTAAGGTAGCCTAATACACACTTGGATTTTTTATCAGCAAAACAGAGGCAAGAAGGAGAAATTCTCGACTTTAGTCATAGTATTTTCGCGGAAAGTTCATGTAATTCGTTCTCCGAACCAGAGTGATTTTAATTTCAATTTTTGCTTCTCTCCAACCTTTTTTAATGATATTTGACAGTACAGTTGCCGTCACATTGACACTGGCGTGACGGTTGACTGACAAAACACTTTTTGTGAGTGAGCTACTAAAAAAACCACCGGATGAAGTGCAAATTCTGATAAAATGTTTCTCATCAAAATTTTACGTAGCCATGAAATTTACTATAATCAATTCTTAGCCAAGATATTCAATCTTTTTTAAATGCGTAAATTCAAACATCCCGCTCTCAAGAAAACAAAAATGTCTAGCTGAGTCAAATCGCGCACTAAACATTTCCTAAATGGTATGAACATATGACGATATCAATTTCGGTGCTTCTGCTCAGCTGTTGCACGTTTTTAACACCTTGAACGGTAAAAGATGGGAAAGGGCATTGTTCGATTAAGTAGCCATCCAAAATCGTTGTAGTGCTCGGTTTGATTTAGGTATAGTATTGCTTTTCATGTGAGCAGAGAATTCAGAATTTCTGTGGGTATAATGTAAAATAAAAACAGTATAATCTTAGTTAGGAGCGTTGATTTCAGTAATTTTTGTTGCACAAATGCATTTCATGAGATATATTTTGATCAGGAAACTCCTATTGGAATGTTCAAATGCGCAGCTTGTCTAGTGGTCAATTGCATAAACAGATTTGTATAATGTTGCATGCAGTTCTCATAAAGTAAATCAGTTAATCATAGATTTGCCAGCCTTTTCTTCACACTTTCACAGCGTTCTCATCATTCAGCATAATAAGACAATTAGCCTACAATTCTTAGCTACATCGGATTGAGTGACATCATTGGCTTAGACAGGGAGGGGGGTCCAGGGGGTCTGGACCCCCCTTAGACCCCTCTCTTAGTCTCGTTCATTGTACCTTTTTTTTACTTTTGGAGGGCAGACATAAAATATTATCAGGAACATACACAACATAATGTAAATGAATCCCCCCTCCCCTCCAAGAATTTCTAGCTACGCCACTGGGTGACATCATAATCATACAACGCTTTAATGATATTAAAGCATGTCAAAACCATCAGATAATTGAACTGCATTTTGCAATTTGGAACTACAAATTCTGGCTCTTCTGGAAAAACACTTATGTGCATAGGGAAACTAATGGCACATACGTTGTTTTTAGACCAGGCTAGAATTTATAGTTCCAAATTGCAAAGTGTAGTCCAATTCAGAGTTCAAATGCTGTAGTTGCATTTTATTTGACACAAGTGATTCCCTCTTACCTGTTAGTTGCAACATCCCACGCTAGACTGATCATGGCGTTGACGCAGTAGTCGACAGGAATGATATCGGCCACCTTGGTGGGATCTGACAAAGAAGTGCGCATGATCCCCGCCCCAACTGCAACGCAAACACCCGTCGGGCCGTACAGATTGTCTATCCAGCCGGGAACTGGCTCTTCGCTCGAACCAATAACTGCGGACAACCGATGATCAAAGTTAGTAAAGAGACGAGCAGATTTATGAATAGATGCAGTATTCCAATGAATCTGCTTATGGACAGATGCAGTATTGCAGTATTCCAATGAATCTGCTTATGAACAGATGCAGTATTGCAGTATTCCAATGAATCTGCCTAAGCTGGGCTCTCTCACTCCTCAGCCTTGCACTGATACTTCTGCATGCAGCCAAGTCACTAGTTTTGGAGTATTGCAATGTTGTAGAACTCCTCATAGAGTTTTGAATCAATTCATGACGACACGCTTAACATGTTTGTCTGTTCCTATCTTCATTTCATCGTGTGTATCATTTTTGGCTTGCAAATAAGAGCTTATTGGTTTTTAAAGGAAACAAAATTTAAACAGGTTTCCCTTTCCTGTAGATATAATCGTATTTACAAAGGAACAGGTTGAGAACGTTCACCTCTGAACTCAATCAAGAATTATGCACACGATGAACTTTAAAATAAATTGTTGCCTTGATTGCACGCACGAAGAGTGTACCCTGTCTGTACAACAGCCTTAAAAAGTTGTATCAGTTTAAAGTAATGTTTTTTCTCGTACTAATACACTTTCAGTTTCCCTGTTAGTAGACTTCCCATTGGCTTAGAAACATTTTTTTGTTGAAAAAAATTTCTGCAGATATGCAAAGCACCAAGAGATGGCGGAAAACACACTGGCGCGACTGCACGACATGATACGGCGCAAAGTGGATCGGGTTAATGAGAGAGGTCGGACATTGATAATTTTGATGTTTATTTCGTCAAATTTTAAATTTAAATGATGTTCCTTGAGGAATATATCAGGAGGTAATCAATGTGACCTCTTTTAAAGCTCAACTTTTCGTATTAACGGAGTTATATAAGCTTTTAACGTGTTTACATTTTGTCCGACTTCTTCGACTAACTCGTTCTATTGTGCGATGCGGCGCGGTTACACGGAACAATTAACCCTTGAGGGCCTGCATTGTCCAATTTCAATGAACTTGGACTTCATGTTAAGTAATAAATTATAGGGCTGTAAGTGTAGTCTGATCCTCTTATATTTGCAAACAGTTTTTAACACTTTATGAATGAGAGGAAAATTTGGCACATTTTTTGGATGACCCTTGCAGAAAAATCATCCTTATTTTTCAAGAGACCGATTTGAGGATGTTTGGAAGGTTACATATATATATATTTTTTACCTTTTTTTTCATAAGAAAAAATGCAAATTTTTGCGAGTGGATTTGGTCAACTTTTTCAAGGTAAATTTACACAGGTATGGACAAGTTGAAAATTTCCCATGAGCCTCAGTACGTGTCACATGACCTCGTGACGTAGGTTAAGGGGCCCGTTTTTTAATTAAATTACAATCAAATTAACATTCAAACGTTTGTGCGTTTAAACGCTAAAATTAATATCGCATAACCAAAATTGGACCACATTTTGCAATTTGGAACTATAAATTGTAGCCCGGTTTAAAAACAACGTATGTGCCATCAGTTTCCCTGTGCACATAAGTGTTTTTCCAGAAGAGCCAGAATTTATAGTTTCAAATTGCAAAATGCAGTCCAATTGTGCACAAAATCCCACAAAATTTTGACAAACGATGAACCGAACATAATAAATCAAAATAATCAAAACATCCAAAATGGCTGACGTTAAGGGGCCGCTGGAGAGCCAATCAGAGGCCAGTTGTTTAGTTCTGTCTATACCTGTGTAAATCTACCTTGAACTTTTCGAACTAGATCGTCGGGGTTGCTAACCAAAGGAGAAAATCGCTCTGTGAAGTCAAGCATTAAATTCAGTTGCTTGATGAATTTTTGCGAACGTTTGCATCCGCACCCACTTTTCGACCCACATCAAAATTTTGGATGTGGTCTTCAATGCTGCCAGCATAAAAACCAAATGTTGTAGCGGCACCGTCACCGGGAGGGAATCATGTTTTCTTGTGACAAAAGTTTCCAATAAGTTAGAAACTTTAACCAAATCCACGCGCAAAAATTTCGCCTGAAGAGAGTTCCTCAATCTGCATTGATGTTTTCACACGGGGAGAGAGTTAACAACTAAAACCTTGCGTTACGTGATACTGCGTACGTAAAATTCTTGTGAGTTTTCAGGTGGGGGGGGGGGCAGAACACGTTTGCAACATATTTTGTGGGAAAGTTGATGAAAATTGAAATTGGTGGAGTATTATCAAAGCGCAGCTCACTAAAAGGATCCAGATTCGAATGACGACACAAGGAGACAACATGATCATTTCACCAGCCTCAAAATCCCCTTCAATTGGGCGTGATACTACAATACCACCGCGGAGCATATGGGCACATTACGATGTGAGAGAAAGATAGAGAGGAGAGAGGGGTAAAAACCAAGTAAAATTGCGTTACATCACGTTTATACGGACGTGATTGGCGTTTTTCTCTGCTAAATAGAGTTGCTATAGGTCACAGTAGATGACAAGATTATTTTGCTTAAAATGATCAATAATAGTTTATTCAAAATTAATGATCCTTAAATCTCGTGTTAAATCTTAGTGTTAATCCTAAATAAGTTCTGAGTTTACTCAGTGTGCAAACATCGCCCAATAAGCAATAGTGTTGAGTAGTGCTCAATAATATTTAGGCTCAGTAATCGTCCTATTCAGTATAGTATTCTTGCAACTTTCATCCTTGAAAATTTTGAGCCTAAAAATCAAATTCTTGGAGTATAAACCTCGCACTTCTCCCTAAAAACGATCATGATGGTACCATGCGGAGACCATGTTGTTCCCAACATAGTCCGTATGCACTGTGCATGGAATTATGTGAGTGAAAAATGGTATTGCCCCATGTCACCAATATGGTATTAATTTTTCCAGGGATACAAATGAATGAAACTTAGAGAATACGCAAATTATGAAACTCCATGTGATGACAACGGTATGGCAGACATTATGAGGAAATCATGCCGAGGACGGATGAAAGTTTGACCGTATGGAAGGAATTAAACCATGCTTACTTATTGAAGGTCGAAAAATTGCCACTGGGAGGCCTTTCCCGAAATGCTGGACACAGTCTTCAGCGACTTGCTTTGTAAATGTGTAAGTATTTGGCCATCCTTTAATAATCCTACAGAAAAAACAAAGGATAAATTAGATTGAATTGCAAGACTTTCCTTACTGGACATATCATCGCGTGATTGAGACGTTCCAAAAACTACCTTGATTCATTTCCTGCCTTTTGTACCTCTCTCTCAATATTTATCCTGATTCTGCGTCATTAATGATTTGATCATTTTTACCTCCTTAGCAGGAAAGTAATTAGATCGCTTCGTGAAAAACTTGTGATATTCAATAAACTCTTGTGAATCTATTTTATTTTCATTGAAGCTTACTCAATGCTTTCATTGCCAATTTTAAAGTAAGGCTGCAATCGACAGTTGGAAAATAAAACAACACAGTTGTCCATCAAGGAATGACAATAAATAATTTTCCGATCAAAACTTAAAAATTGGAAGGGGTTTAATGATAACGACTTAGCGGAAAACACACTTTTATTTTGTACGTATTAACCAGTTCATTTTGATTTTTCTCTGATTTGTATGGTTTGGAAAACCTCACAATCTTGAGATACTATTCCATCCAATGATTTTTTTTCTCAATCAGTTTTGAACAATAGAGATTCTATTGTGCATTTTATTCGAGGGTTGATTTTTAACCGGTGGTGGGGGGGGGGG